AGCTTTTCTCAAAAGCACTTTGACAGGAAATTTCGAAGAGTGTTTCTCTTCTATCCAAAATTGGAAATTTAACAAGCACTCCTCTAACCTCTGGGCAGAAACTCGACTTTTTTCAGGCTGAACTTCTGTGTACATGACAGTGGTGGCCTCTGCTTCTTTTCCAACCTCATCTGCATGTTAGACTAAATATGAATTTCCAAGTGTTTCTCAAACAGTCACTGCAGTGTGGTTCATTATGCTTGATCCTCTTTTAGGTGAAGATACCTTCAAGATTTTGCTGCACACTCTGCATACTCAATCCTCGGAGGAATCTCAACTCAAATATGACTAAATATTCGATTTTTGATCTACATGGTGACTTGATCACACGTATCAACCAGTTAATCACAGACTGATTCAGTCACGTAAGGCAGCAAACACCCACTAAAGGAGGAATGATTGGGCATAAAAAAATCAGAGCATTAAAAACATGGATTGGCATTTTGGGGCAGAAATGATCCATTTGCTTTTGATTTGATGAATAATAAAATAAATAAAAAAAATAAAGACTAAATAATGCAAGTTCTTCTGAGCTCATGCAGGTATAGTTAATGCATTCTTCTTGTAGGAATGTGGATGATTTTTAGTGAGAGCAACAGTACAATCACATTTATTGATAGAGCTGCAAAAATATCTTTTCTTTATGCAAATAAGACATTTAATCTCTTAATGTGGGCATATAAAGCACCTCTAAAATAGCTTCAATGCCACTGAATAATGTATATGTATCTAGGGGATTTTTCACCAAATCCACCTCCAACAATGTCTGGATATTTTCATGTAAAAATATAAAGCATCTGTTGGTTGCAGCAAATGAATGCAAGCCAGAAATTAAAAGACACCTGCATAGCATAATCTCAAAATACCCAAAACAGGCAGCTGAAAGTATTTTGAATGGTGCTCATGGCCATTGATCAGTGGTCATGACAGTTTGCATATTAATGATCAAGGAACCGACCTCCCAGCCCATTGTTCGAACCATTGCTAGTTTCAGTCATTATGCAAATGCACTGTTTATAAGATTGGGGAAACCTGCCCAGTGGGAGAAATGACGAAGCTGAAAACGCTACGCCCAGATGAACAGAATCAACCTTTTGGGGCTTTGGTTAAGAAGTACTCAGTTCCACCCCTCTCTTATATTTTGCCTTAAAAATTAAGCTCAAGGTGCAAAAGTGCAGTTCATTGTATGAGCAGTTGAGGCTGTCCCCCAAACAATCAATCCCAATAGAAAGGCATGTTTAAGGCATAGTACAACAAGTGCTGTAAGTCTTTCTAGCTAACCTTCTGTTCATGAGTACAAGTATGTTTTACTAAGGGTGCAGCCACTTTGACTGTTAGATTTCTGTGTCTGTGCGATACACTCGTAAAGTGAATGGATGTAGATTGTTAGTAAGAACTCAGATTACACCACGCCCCCATCAAAAAAGCAGGGTGCTATGTCCTTTTATGATGAGTCTTGAAGAGCCACTGTTAGCCACTGGAACTATGAAATGTGGTTTTACTCTGAAGCTTTAGTGTTTTTATCTTTTCACCTACCCAGCTCTTCTTCTTCTTCTTTTTGTCTTCGGCATCCTTGCCCAAGCTGCCCATACTGGAATGACTGGCTGCACTGTTAATACTGGACATACTTTCTGAAGAGTGCTGCCGTCTAATCCTCAGATCTGGAAAGAACAGACAAAGCTTTCTTTAGTGCAAAGAACGTTTAGGTGAACAGTGTCACTACATTTATTGGTTCATACTGGTTCTTATTTAAAGTGCTGCAGGAATTGTTTCTTTCAATCTGACTCACACAGCACAGAAATCTGTAAATAACAGCGGTTCAATTACCTATGGAGCCAGTTGGGCTAAATGTTCACCCACTTATCAAAACATCATTTAATTTTGTCTCCTGCCAGCCTGCTCATTACCTCTGTCAAGGTGGTTTGGGCCATTGAGTGCCACCTGGATAGCTGTTTGGGCGTCTGTGTTCTGGGTC